CTCATGGATACATGAAGTATGGACTGATGAAAAGCTATTTTGAATTTGGACCTTCCCCAGTCTCCTACAGGCCTCACCATGGTTGCGCTTTGCTGTGCCATCCCAAGCCGCATATCTAGGCAACTGTATCTCAGCCAAAACTCAACCTTTTACGAAAATTTTTGCTTGGAATGATATCAACTCTTTTGGAGAATACGGATGTTAATATCTGAGACGCAATAATAGGGTGGACACACAATTCCTACGTGGGTAAGGCTTACCAGGATATCTACCGAAATGATGGTGGTCAATTTTGAGGTTTTTTTCATTTTTCTCATTTATTAATCTAAACATCTAAAATTAAAAAATTTGAAATTTTTTCCTACATGACACCACTTAACCAAAGGTACGGTACCGTAGCAGTACAAGACATTGATTGGGGCAAGGGCTGGGGCTGAGGGTGTCAAATTTCAATCACACACCTGAAAGATACTCGGTGCTCTGCCATCGACCATCCTTTTCTCAGTACAGTACTGGTCTTGCCTTGCTTGACACTATGTATGAGCAGCCAAGGGAGCAAGACTGCACAGTAGCCCAACCAGTCTATTAATAGCTAGGCCAGCCAGAAGCCAGTACGGTGGCCAGCAGTAGCTTCGCTTCTGCCTGTAACATGTGGAGTCCACTCAGCACTCAGGAGTACCAAAACTGGTACAATACCAGCGTAGTAGAGAAAGCATTGACTACTCAGTACCCAATCATGTATGCATAGCTATCATGTACAGTACTAATACTGTATCTCCCATCGCACGCACGGTTGTTGCCAGTTTGCTTTCGGTACTGGTGATCTTCTGGGCAGAGTTGGACAGTTGCGGCCGCATCAAAGAGGCAATATGAGTTCCGTGAGTTCTTTTTTTGTGATCGATGAAGGCAGTTCCGGAGAAGTCCATTTCGCGCTTCTGGGAGAGCAAGCTAGAGCTCAAAGTAAGACTACCTCATCAAGTACTTGGCGTACCTGGCACCTGTAGCAGAGCTCCTGTAGCTACTTTACCGGTGACACGGGACACTGTAGTTTGGGCAGCTTTTGGGCCCAGTGCCCGGGCAGTGGGCAGGGAGGACAGGACTGGGCAGGCATGGTGCCGGCTACGGAATGGAAGCAGCTTAATTCCTGCATCTACGATCGGAAAAAGAGCCCCTATTCCACAGAACAAACCATCAAGAAAGGTTGATTTAACGCAATGACGCACTGACACAACCAAAGAAGAAGGCCTCATTGCTGGCAACAACAAACAGATGTTGACAGAATTATGTAAGCGTTATGTACATGTACATGTACATGTAGTACTTATTAGCACTAATAGCTTTTATCTGATTGATACAGTACGAATCCTCTTTCGGTACGGTAGAACACAATGTCATGATGAGTATGAGAACATGGGGTTCGAACACTGGTCATCGTGAAGCACCTTTTGCTCCTTTTAGGCTTCGTCGAGCCTGGCTAGAACTGCCCTGTGTCAGTTCCATCCCTGAATCAACCAACACTAAATTCCCCTTGGATCAATTTGGACAGTTGTGGCCATTGAGGAGAAGTAGGTCTTCGCTGTATGCACAGCTAAGCATTCTTCGCAAGGGTAGCGGTACCGGTACCGTATCCCAAGCACATCATGATGCGCCTGATCCCTGCAGGCCTGTTCACTCTCAATCGACTCGATAGGCCGCTATCTAGAGTAGGTTGGAATCCGAAGCAATGGTTCCGTGGAGTACAGTATTGGCTTCCTCTTGCAGTATGAGACTTCGTCGTTCGTCGTTCGTCGTTCGTCGTGTGCGTGAATTGAATTGAATTGAATTGAATTGAATTGAATTGAATTCAGGTGCTGCTTCATGCTAGCTAGCATGCTAGCATGGCTCGGTCTGGAATGGGATCGTGGCTTTGAGCCAGCAGGGAAGCATGCAAGAAATCACGCCCATCTTCGATTGTGTTGCATCCTTGGAATTTGCCGGTAGGTCTTGGGGGTGTGCGTGAGGACTTTCTTGGCGGTCCTGGAAAACAAGAAAGGGGACGAGGCATTCACCAATCCTCGAACAGTGGTACCGGTACGGGCAACCGCGTACTCAGCACGCCAAACCGTGAACCTTGAGCATCACGTCGTAATCGGGTGGATGGCTGGGGCAGTCGTTGTGCGCCAGTGACATGAGGCCAGCCATGTGGTGTCAACGTTCTTTGCAATTTGCGCAAGGCATTGGCTGCATGGTGGAGTAGATGAGACAACTCTGGTTGGCCCCATGAAAGTACTTTGGCATGGTATGTGGGCGGCTCCCTGAGGACGACTCGTGTGTAGTTGAGTGGGTGCGTGGCGTTCTTCATGCAATATGAGGGTGCGTACATAGATGTTCCAGTCTGCCTTGAAGGGTTGGTAGTCGGCCGGGAATTCCGGTGGATCATCACAGCACAAAGATCACCGGTAGATCTCACAGAGAGGTGGCTGCCGTATTGCCAAGGGCACCCTCATCGGCAGCACACTCCCAGGGAGGCGATGCATTTATGTAGCTAACACTACAGTACAGTATTATACATTGGCATATCCGCATAATCATGCCGAACATTGAAGGTCGAAGGAATTGTGCAAATGTTATGGGAGAGTTACTGGGGAGGGAAGGAGGGGAAACAGGGAGAATCCCTTACCCAGTCTCGAGTCGGGTGGTGTAACTCTCTTGCAGAACAGGCTCCCGAGTATTAATCCATTGTCGATTGATGAAGTTGGCTGGCCATTGGGCTCTGGTATAAATGATGTTTGGAGGAGCCATATGTGCTTGGGAAGCTGTGTATTTGTTGCATATCTGGTCGTGTAGGGCTCGTCGGTGCTCAGTCTGGGCTTGGGATTGGGCATCTTTGCCGTGCCTATCTTCATTGCGGGCATGTAATAAGAATCACGCACATCTTGTTCGAATGATTCAATGATTCAATCGAATCGCATCCTTGAAATTCTGGAGTGAGGACGTGAGGACTGGAGTCGCTCGCCGCCAAACCTGCCTCGAACAGCGGTACGGGTAACCGCGTACTCACGCCAAATTGGTGAGCATCACAGAGAAACTCCTGTCATGAATGCCAATAGCTAGACCATGTACCGGTATGATCTTGCCGGCCCCGCCTTTGCTTTGCGTGCTGCATGACAATTGAGCTGCGGGGCTCTCCTGGGTGGTGTCTTGATTTCGATTGAATCATTCATTCTGGCAATTGACTGTCGCTCCAGTCGCTCCAGTTGATGAAGACGGGGAGTTTTTGTTTTTTTTAAGGTATGTTTTCCTTATGGATGGGCATTGATGAAGCTGCTGACTACAGGCGAGCTACCGTAGATACAAGCTCATCGTTAGTTACTCTTCCGGCCGTCTTCTTCAAATTCCCATCTCAACGGAGCTCAAGCACGCACCGGTTCACCCGTGATTGTGATTGTTGGGGTGCGAAACAGATCTCAGTGGCTTATTTCAGATTCGCGGAAAGATTGCAAGATCGCATCAACGCCACGCCAACGGGTGTAGAAAGATCGATCAACTTGAATGCCAAGGTGTGCGGCGATCTCCTGGGTGGATGGTGCATCGATGAAGCTGCTGACTACATGCGAGTTAGCTGGCTAGCTATGCAAGCTCAGCCATCAAGCTGGATTCATAGTTTCTTCTTCTAGGACACAAGAAAGATCATGGGTTCTCATGCCAGAACAACGTCGATCCTCTGCCGGTACGGTACTAAAGACGCAACGATCGCAGCGAGTCGAAGCTTTTGGAATTTTAAAAGGGGATTGTATAAGGGCGGCATCTCTTCCTGCGCATTGGGCAAACCTGCATGGTGGAATATCCTCCCCCGCAAGGAAGGAATCCATCGGCCTAGGGGTGCAGCAGAGAAAGTCGGAATCAGGTGGATGGGCGCCAATCGGATCGTGACATGAGGCCGTGTGGTTTCCGGCTGGTACCAGGTACGTGTGCAAGGCATTGGGTGTGGAGACAACTCTGGTCGTCTCCTTGAAAGTGCTTTGGTATGGACCAATGTGGGTGGTGTCCATGAGGAACGACGACTCGACTCGTGTGCAGTTGAGTGGAGCGCTGGCGCTCTTCCTGCAATAAATGTTGGGCAGAGTAGGGAAGGAGGGGGCGTAGGTACCGCTACATAGATGTTCCATTCCAGTCTGCCCTGATGAGGGTTTGGTAGTGGGGAAATGCACATGGATCACCACTGCAAAGAGATCGCTCGCTGTCTTTTCCTCGAAAGTATGTAGTACCTGGTACTTAGGTTCAGCATTTCCATGATGGATCGCGGCAGCATCAATGAGCATCTCCGAGTCGCAAGTGAGTGGTGAAGAGTGTGTGTGTGTGTGGGGGGGGGGGGTTCGCGATAGAGAGATCTAGACTAGCTAGAGGCGGAGGGCACTTTGACGACTCGACTCTGTCTACTACTAGCAGTAGAGTGACATCAGGTAGGTTGGAGTGAATGAGTGAATGACGATTCGATTTGAGTCGTGGATAATCAGAGTCCTAATCAATTTTTGGAGCTATCCTAATCAATTTTTGGAGCCGCTCCAAAAATTGATTAGCTCCAAAAATTGATTAGGATTCTGATTATCCAAGACTCGAATCGTCATTCGTCGGACATTCTTTAAGTCTTCTCAACTACTGGTAGCGGTACTTATTACGGATATGGAACCCATCGAGGATCGTCCACTCAACCGAACCCTGGTTACAAAGTAAAGTGTGACTCGACTCGACTCGACTGGGTCCGGCTTCTACAGTGAGAGGAATATCCCATAAACAAGCCTGTCACATGTGTCAAGTGGCTTCCTAATCTGCTCCATCGGTTGGTGGCAGAGCTATTTTAAAATGCTATACTGACAGCTCGAACCTCAAATTAGACATACACCTTATTAGAGCTATCGACGTCAAAAGTCTCAACCCGCTCTAAGATAGAGAGCTGAATGAGTCTTCAGAGAACACGTCTGATCTCACAAATCTCCGCTTAGAGAAACACGGTAAATCCGTCCAAAGATCTGTCCGTGCAATCTGCTAGTACACCAAAAAATTCACATCCAAATCCTCCAACAAAGACGGTAACCCCGGTTTGGATGCGGATGACGGGAAAGATGCTTGCCAGCTCCCTTGACTGGAACGAATCTCTCACCGCAAGAGAATCAAAATTGTCATTGTCGCCATCACTAAAGCGGGACACTAGGTAGGACGCTCGACCAGAAGAAAAGAAACGATTGAACTCGGTCAATTCCTCGTCATTGCAGTCATGGCAGCCAATCACATTGCTCGCACAAACGGCAGCATTGTCATCGTCACAACCATTTAAACCTTGGTCCGTGACGATGGCTGGCCGATTCGCCAATTCCGTCACGAAATCACCAAGTGACATTGTCTCACCAGCAATGGTAACTGAAAAATCTGGTTCTCCCAAAGCACGGTGTCTGTACCGGATGTGGACAAGATTCCCCGCGATACTATCAAAATCGACAAAGCCTTGTGTAATGAAGTTGGAGGATGGACAATCTTCGGTGATCCCATCGCCGTCACCTTCGCAAACTGTTCTCCAAATATTCCGACGGGTGAAGTCCTCTTGTGGATTCAAGGCAACAATGACCTGGATGAAAAAGTCTGGTTGAAGGGAAGTCAAGAAGATCCAAATATCGTCGGCAATGTCTTGATTGGATCTAGACTCCTCGTCACCGTCTGCAAGCGAGAAGATTTGATCGCGGAGCTCGGGTAGAATGAGTAAGTTCCTCCAAAAGTTGACCTCCAAGTCCGACACGGTTTCGTTCAGTCGCAATACTACCTCATCAAGGGCGTCTCCCATATCCTCCATATTCTCTCTGAAGACGATGTCAGTACTTCCATCATTGCATGTTCCTTGGGGTGGGAGACATGCCGCTGTTAACATCATTGCTTGGACCATCCCCATGTAGATAAAGCTAGCAAAGTCGGTACGGAATCGGATTCCACTAAATCTTGCTTCCCGCAGGGCAATATCGAAAAAGTTTGCACGTCGTCGACTCGAAAACATACAATCGGAACAGGCATATCCGTACAAGTCACGGAAGATAACCTCCGGGTTGTAGGGCGATGCCTCATTGCATATTGCACGGAATCTTGCATCGTATATGAATAAGGCTGATGGAGATGGACGTGTACCGTTAGTACCAGAGGCATTCACAAGATTCTGGAAAGCCGACAGCGTGTGGTCCAATTGTCCTGCAATTTCGTCAAAGGTAACATTCAAGATGAGTGATTCGATTTGTAGGAATGATTGCCGATTTTCTATTTGCATCCTACCCAATTGGGTAGAAATTTGTTGGAATCCCGATTGAATCATCGCCAACAACACATCGGCTTCACTTTGTAGACCAAATATCGGTCCAAGGAACTTCACTGCTTGGGTTAAGGCAGCAGCGCCATCGGCAATAAACGGCCCAACACCCGGGACGAAGGCACCAAAGAACTCTATAGTTTCAATGACTCCATTGATATCTTCGATGGTCGTTCCGGCTTCCTCAAAAGTGACTTCTGATATCAAAGGTTGCGTGTCGGGTGCGACCGATCTTGGATCATTGGGAGGCACAGGGAATCCCATTGAATCCAGGAGACAGATTGGAATTCTGGTGGATGCTGCCGTTGGCAACGTTCCATTTGACAGAGCAGGATCAATAGCAGGTGATGGTTGGGCCACCACAGGTCCTGTAGGCGTTGGGCTAGCTGGTGTTTCAGGGGATACTGCTGCTGGCAACGTTTCAGTCGGCAAAGCAGGGTCAATAGCAGGTGATGGTTGCGCCATGACAGGTCCCCGTGTTGGACCATTCGCGATGGGAGGAGAAGGCACCATTGGTGTAAGACTCTGTTCTGCTTGAAGGTAACGTTCCCAGGTGTTTTGACTCTCGCTTTGGAGGTCTTCGATTTGAGGTGTGCTTGGAATCACATCATTTGCTGAGGGTGGTGTCCGACCACTCAAAACAACTTTACCTGTGACTTGCTCCAGAATCAATCCCAAGAAGAGACACAAGGACAGCCAAGTGGCGGTACGTCCGGTGTGGGATACTGATCCCCAGGGCATCTTTGCTTTCCTTTTTATGTTTTGCTTCGCTTTCTGTTTCCTGGATCCAAGAGAATATGAGTTCAAACATTCCTTGAAAGGTCGACTTCTAAAATTCAATAGATCTAAAGAAGTAAACTTTTAACCAGCGATTTACTATCAGTGAAATAGCATAGGCATACTCTGGTTTAGTATGCTTTGGCCCTCGCTCATTCTTTAGTTAGTATGCTTTGGCCCTCGCTCATTCTTTGATGATTTTAATTAACTAAGATTATTGTTATTGCAAGTGGTACGTGGTACTGCCAAAGTACTAAGAATGAAACTTGTCGGAGAATGCAGGTTAGATCTACCGGTACTGTGCGGTTACGGTAAGGGTGGATTTGGCGTTGTGGGAATGGAGATTGAGGACGCGTAAAATAGCGCAGAGGGCAAAGAGCGCGTCGCAGCTGCTGAGTCCAGTCATTGCATGCAACTGCAGTAGAAAACATGCCGCTACGCTTCGGATCGATGGGGTGCCGAACAGCGCACCCTGGCTTATTCCAGATCCTCGATCAGGGCCATCGATCGGCATGCATGCAACATGTTGCAACACTGGGTGTGCGCGTGAAAAGATCGTTGCATGGAAAGAGCTCCAAGCATGATCGAGCTCATGACACTATTAATATAAGATGCGACCCTCTTTTAGCCATGCCCCCCATGATCGCACCAGGCCAATAAAACGGCGGGTCGTTCCTTTCTTGGCTGTGGCCCTGTTGCTATGCATATCCGCTGTCATAATCTGGTCCCGCAACCGAAGATCTTCTGATTTTCTTCAAGTGGCTCTAGCCGAAAAGCACCAACGACCAAAGCTTCAATCCAAATCTGGAACTACTATAGATAGTACTACTGGTAGTAAGAACAACCAACTGCTGGTGATCACTCCTCTTGGCAATTCAACGTCCAACGAAAAAGGAGTTCACGCCTTGAAATGCTCCATGAAGTTCCGGGGACACAATCCAGAACATTTGATACGAGCAAAGTTTGATGACAAGGATGGGTATGGGGGGTAAGTACCAGGTACCAGTATACATGCTGCATAATGTTAGTACTGAACCTGAACCTGAACCTGAACATCATGCTTGACTACTTCAATTTGATTTGATTTGCAGGTTGGATGTCAAGAAGATCAGAACGATATTAAGGACGTTACAAGAGTTGTTGTCCCAACAAGAATGGCCGGCAACTACCCTGATCCTAGTAGTAGATGCATTTGATGTGGTCATCCAGGCAGACCCACAAGAGATTCTCCAGGCATACGACGCACAGCCTTACCCAATTCTATTTGGTGCAGAAGCGGGATGTTGGAATCCAGTCACCAGTAAGTACTTTAGTAAGATGTACCACACACACCAACTAGCTTCACTCGGAATGAACACTCACTTTTTCTCATGCTTATTCCAATCTCCATGTATATATAGAAACTCTCCAGAGCACTGTTTCGGCTCCACTCTGCACACTTCCCACACATCAAACCAGCATTGCCAAGGGTCTCTATCTCAATTCGGGAGTTTTCCTGTCAACTCTTGGAACTCTGGCCGCATTTTTGGACCACGAACTCAATCACCAGGAGTTGCCGACCGAAAAGGAAGGTCTCGTGGCACTGCAAGGCTTCCCCGGTCAGTTCAATGATCAGGCATATTGGGGATACTGGTACACAAAGTACCATCCACTCATTGGCATTGATAATACTGGCGACAACAACAATAAACTCATTATTGCCAATATTGGCAGGGATCACCGAAGTGCGCTGCGGTTTGACACCACGACGGGATTGTTTGCCTTGGAGGACAATAATAATGGAAAACAGAAACAAGTCCCGCCCGTGATGCATTTTCCAGGATCTCATCCCAAACTGTTCAAGCCGTACATTGCTGCCAAGCGGTTCTTTGAGGAGAATTGCTAATTTTATATTGATACGCAACAACAGTCGATCAAGCAAACAACCAGTCATACGACAATCGATTGATCGAAGAGACGACAATTAATTAAATGAGAATGCTGCCGTTTCTTCCTTTCGAGGCTTGTGTGAAAACGACGGCTCAAGGTGGTTGTCGGGAGCACGGACGAGAGTGTTCGTCGAGGACTCGTTCGTGATTGTGCATTGGTGCTGCGGCGCAAGTATTTTCGACAAACGAGGCAAGGGAACTGGATCGAAGAAGGTACTCTCGTACCTTTTCTAGCCCACAGCCATGTATGTACACTGTGCCACTCGATCATGGAGACCGGATGCTGTATGGTTGGGGAATTCCCCATCCACTCTCAGTTTCCAAACAAAATCAATCGACAGAGGTCAAAACAATCAACATGCATCGGGGTTGCATTGCACACCACAAGCAAACGTGAATGGAAGGTGGGCCGATCTACCGTACAAGCTCCACGTTCCTTTGCCATATCATTGGAGCTCTGGAAGGTGATTGACGAAAGTCACGTATCAGTAGGTGCTTGGACTTTGCTCGGGAACGATCGAGAGACTAGGTATGGTGCGTATTCGGGACTAGCCAGTTAGGAGCGCAGAATCTCGCCAGGGAGAATACATGTAATTGACCAATCTGGTATGGGCTGTTATGACGATTTAATCATCTAGACGAACTCTCGGCTCTGCATGCATCTTTGATCAAAAATGCACTCAAAGCTCAATCATAGCCGTCCTGCTTCTGGACCTCCCTCTACCGGTATGCCCCTTATCGCCGTCCTCCAGCCATTGGCTTTAGCTTGCCAGTCATGGTGGGCTGCTAGGAGGGAAAACCAGGGCAGTCATGGACCCAGGGCAGACATGGTTTCCGTCATCGCGAGACTCAGGGCAGCCATGGACCCAGGACAGCAATTGTCCTCTACCCACCGGATCAATTCACGTTTGTTGATCGATTTGGTTCTTCTGGCAGATCGATATGTTGATACATCGCATGGACAACCATTTTCACGAGCCCACTTCAAAACTTCCAAATGTCCAAATCGAGCAGCAGAGGAACATGTATGTTCATCCCATTGACAACCATTGGCACGGGCCCACTTTAGAATTTCCAAATGACCATTTTTAGCAGCAAGTCTGCATGTCCATAAATTCCATCGACAACCATTTGCACGTGCCCATTTCAGCACTTCCAAATGTCCATGTTGAGCAGCATCATTACACGTTCTTTCATCCCATGGACAACCATTTGCATGCAGCCATTTCATAGTTTCCAAATGACCGTTTTGAGCAGCAAGGTTACATGTCCCTTCATTCCATGGACAGTCATTTTCACGAGCCCACTGCAAAGTTTCCAAATGGCCATTTTGAGCAGCATTGTTACATGTCCCTTCATCCCAAGGACAACCATTTGTACGGGCCCACTTCAAAATATCCAAATGGCCATTTAGAGCAGCACCTGAGCATGTCCCTTCACTCCATGAACAACCATTTGCATGAGCCCATTTTAAAACTTCCAACTGACCATTTTTAGCAGCTCCAGCACATGTCCGTTCATCCCATGGACAACCATTCTCACGAGCCCACTTTAGAATTTCCAAATGTCCATTCTTAGCAGCAAAGTTGCATGTCCATAGATTCCATGGACAGCCATTGGCATGAGCCCACTTCAAAATTTCCAAATGTCCATTTTCAGCAGCTGCTTCACATGTCCATTGATTCCAAGGGAACCCTTGTTGCCGTGCCCATTTCATAACCATAATATTTCCAATTTTGGCAATTACAGTACAAACATCCAAATGACCAGGTGCCTTATTTCTGGAATTGTCCTTGAGCCAGTATTCTGCGCGCGATATGGTACAGAATGTTTCGCTGTAGAGTGTATCTGTAGCGGTGGCTGAGCGACTGGGGGGACACTGCCCACGGAAGTCCCTTACCTTTCTTGGCTTTTTCTCAAATTCAATTTTGCAGTACTCTTTGTACAGTTGATTCATCTTCTTGTTGACAGCCCCCACAAAGGCATACTGTCCAACACCAACTGAAGGTAGAATGCCATGGATCCAAATCGCATCATTGGCCAACATCAGAGGAGACTCGGCAGTATCTTTATCATCGGTGGCTGTGCATGTATTCATAGTGCAAATAGCGGTGATTTGTGAGCTGTTTGGTTTATCCTTGTAAACGTGCATAACGTTGTCTGAAAGATGTAAACCAGCATTGAGGTGGTACGCTCGTGGTAGTGCTGTATGTTCGCTAGCTACTCGGTAGCGACAGCTACATCGTACAGGTACAGGTTTTAACAGTAATTTTTCCATTCCAATGTCATGACGTGGCAGGTTGGCCTGCCGCCACTCCAAAACTGACCCTCACAATTTTGACCGAAAGCATATCATCTCCCTCGGCAATGCCGCAGTATATCGATGCACTTGCTTTGGCAAGTTTCTCGTTTGGATGCGACACACATTCCAGCTGCTTCTCTGTCCAGCGCAAGTGATGGTGGGTAGGGTGCACATAGAACGGATGCCTTGCATTGTGGTGTTCATGCAGTTGTCGTTGGTGGCAGCGGCTGCTTCGGACTTCAACGACCTTGATTTCCGACGAACCTGTAGTGATCTCTCTTGCCGGAGTATCAAATCCAGCCCACTCCATGGCTTGCACTACATTCATTCCTCCTGTCTGTGCGAGACTGTGGATACCAGCAGCTCTAGCGACCTTCTTTTTCAGCGGCGTCTCTTCCGCCATGGCTGGTTGATTGGTTAGATCGATCGATCCATACGAACGAAATGGCTGCACATCGCTCGAAGCTTTCCAACACGTTCGTTATCTTCTATCTCTAGCTATGATTAATAGTCTATGTTGGAAGCGTTGGCTGTTGGCCTGCCGGAGGTGCCCATTTTGCATTGATCGAGACCATATCACTTCCCAATGAGGAGACC